CTCATCTTTGCTTTACTGGTATAAATTCTCATTTATTGAGAACTCTAGAATTCTCATTTAAATACTCATTTACTGAGCTTATCAATAAACCAAACTTCCATTTGCATTCTCATGCAAATGGGTGTGAACTGGCCTGCTCATTTAACTAATCACTGGCTAATCACAGCGGGTTTGTTACCTAGGATATAGTAGTGAATGGAGACTGGGCCTGTGGGTTTTTGTTTGTTTTGCTTTAAGATATCCGAATAAAATCTGGATCACCTGTTTTTCAGCATGGCAGATAATCAGATGTCCTGGATACTATCAGTTTCAGTGCTCTGTCACAGCATTTTTATTTGGGAGTGATTGGGAATCTCGGCATCTCCCTGGAATCCAGGGCGGTACTTTGCCCACATCTCCCCATATGTGTGTCTTTCCCAGGAATTCCTGCCCAGACAAACTGGAGAACTGGAGGAAGGGAATCATTGGCTTACGGGGAGCTCATCTTTCCATGTTGTGTCCACTTCAAGGCAGTATCATTACAACGTCGAGTGCTTCGGATGCAACGTTTCCAGCCCCTGGAAGCAGCTGCTTTCCGTGCAGCCCTACCCACTGCTCCTGGTTAAAGGGAAACACTGAAAACAAGTGTGAGAGGGAGATAACCCGGGATTGAGGTGTTTCATGATGCCCAAGTTGAAGGACAAGCAGCTTTCTAGAGATGATGATACTGCCTCAGCCCACAGTGTAGCCAAGGATATCGCCCTGGTGGAGCTGCTCCTGATGTTAACTCGAAGCTGATAAAAGTTGCAGAGTGCAAAACTGCGTTTCACCACATCAGAAGTCAATCAAGTCAAATTGCTAAAGAGTATCATAGATTAGCACAAAGATTAAAATTCTCTTTTCCAGATTGCATTTAGGTTGTAGAGGGAAAATGAAATCACTCAGTATTTGCATATGAACGTGCAAGGGAGACACAACAAAAAGCATAAGAAGCTTTTTAGTAAAGTGACATATTATTTCTTTAATTAACAACAATTGTCTTGGAATTTCAACCAGAAGATTCAGCGAGTCTGATGTAAGTAATTTATATCAGCAAAAGAAAAACCGACCAGACTATTTATTCTGGGTTTAAGATAAAGTATCTCTTGCCAGCTAAGGAGAGATGAGATGAATAACAAGTCTACTTTAACCTAAATTTTCTGGACATGTGTCATAGCAGCTGTAAAAGACACTGGAGGGGGAAAAAAGCCCAAAACAAACAAACAAAGTCCAGAGATCTTAAAACAGAAGTAAGGAGGTTTAAGTTCAAAGACCTGCAATACTGCCCATTTTCCTGGGGGATGCCAAGTATACTTGGAAACTGATAAACCGCACACTCCAGATGGGTTTTCTGTAAAAATGTAACAAAAAAATGGGAAGTGCTCACATGCCATGGTTATGTGATTCCACAGGACAGGCTCAAAAGGGAGACCCGAGTTGCTCGAGTGATTCGTGTTCGTCTCACGCTACTCTTGGCAGCTGGGAAAGCAGTGGCGCCTGCTGCTTTCTGGAAGGAAATGACACATTTTAGGGGGTAATAAAGCAGGTTTCAACCCCCCAAGGTTGCTACCAGGTGGCTGGTGATGCGTTTGAATTCTGCCTGCTATTTCAGGCGATTTTAAGCGGCGATTCGTTGTTTCCTGGTACCACCGTGTGGCAGAGGGAGGGAATAGGCTCTTACCCCCTGGTTAATGAAGCCAACGGGACTCCCCGAATCCCCAAACTCAGGCAAATGCTCCCGGAGGATCTGCCAAACTCGGGCTTCCCCTGCCAACACGTCCCAGATCCAGCTCACTTCTGCATCCGTGGTATTTCTGTGAGATAAATTCAGTACCGATGGAATTTTCCTTCCTTGAGTCCTGGAGCACTTGCCAGCAAGGAAGCTCGTTTCACTGTGGCATGGCAGGGAAACCCTGGCATTTTGAGGCAGGCTACAATCCAGCACAAACCTGTACACCAAACATCCCAAACATGGTAACAATTTCTACCGTTACACCCAATTTCTCTCCGGAAATTGCATCAAAAAGTAATTAAATTACCGAACTTTACAACTCAGGTTCCACTCAGGACGCCTAATGTAAAGATTATTGATAACGTATTTGGTAATGTACTGCCCTCAACATCAAGCACAGAGGCAGCACTTTATGCTCGAGCAAAGGCACACCGAAGTTCATCTCCTCTTGTCTGTGCAACACTGCAATAGCGATTCCCATCTGGGGTAACTCCCTTCTCTTTTGAACACGAGCACAGGTGCTACCGCTACAGAGGAGCTACAAAACTTCAGGAGAGAGCTGTTGCCTGGGGGAAATTCTGTTTAAAATCCCAGAATAAATTTAGGAAGGTTAACGGAGAAAATGAAATCCACCGTAATGCAAACCTTCTATTTAGAAGTCAAAACTTTTTGTTTTTCTAGCATTGTTTGTTTTCCTAGCATTGAAAGTTTCTTTTTCTGGCATTAAGGTTTCCTATTTCTCTTTCTTCAGTCACGCCACACGTTTTCTGGCATCCTAGAACTTCCCTTTACAAAAAGACAATAAATATACATTTACATTGTATACATTGTTGGCAAAACACCAGAATTCTTCCCCAAAACATTTTCCTGAAGCTCTCTGCTAGTCTGTACCTAATCCTCATTAGCCTCCACCAAATCTTACTCAGAATTAGACCCGCTTCATCATCCCCTTGCCATCCCTGGCAGTGGAGAGCAGGCACATACTGTACATAGTCTGCTTAACGAGAGCTCCACTTTATCTTTCCCAATTGCTGGATAAGGAGCTGTTCTTCACCAATTACTCAGCAATATTTGTTCCTGGTATTACTCTGCCTAGGATGAGTTGGGGACAATGAGATTTGTGACTTTTTCCCTCACTCTCGCTACCCTAATGATCCTACAATTCAGTATTTTGTGCATGCACCAAAATTTAGTGTTTTCCTTTCTTAATTCCTTTTCCTACCCACGAGTCCTAAAACCCGTAAGCATTAACCCCAGGACAGGATGTTGGGAATAAAGGAGTCAGGGATTTGTCGTGGGTTTTTTTTCCTGTGAAAACACTCCAGCAAAACTCCAGGATTCAGGAAAATGAGAAGTCATTCACAGGCTCACTCACAGAGTCCAGACCAGTTGCATAGAAGCAGCTACAGGAACGAGCAGCACATTGAATCAAATTTCTGTTTTACTGCACATCTCGCATGCAAATCAAGCTTATTTCTGCAAAAGGACTGTTCAAATAAAGGTGGGAAAAGCATACGAAGTATCAAAGCGAGAAAAGTTATCATTAAAGTCACTGTGCATACAGAGAACAAGAGTAATTTGCAGAAATACAAAAGGCTTTCGTGTGTTATATTAAAGACAGGTGCCCAGCACTAACCTGCCTAAAAACCTAGAACAGATTTCAGGAGATATATTAAGTATCTAACATAGAGAGATAACAGCTGTTTGGTAGGCAATCGGGATCACAGATTAGTCTAATATATATACATATTTCTTAATCCATCTGAAAGCATAAATCACATTTCAAGGCAATGCATAAAGACAATTCTCCATGTAAAACAACTATGATTTAACAAAAAGAAAAAAAAATTAAAAACCCTTAGCTTAAGGCCTTCTGGCAGTCAGAGACACAGATTTGTGGCTATTCCAACCACTAAACATGCATGATTGCAGCACAGGGTTAGCCCATCTTTATGGTTTAATTTACAGAACTAATTAGTCGGATTTACCGTCTTTAGTGCACTTTACACACTATTTGCTTAAGGAGAACTAGATGAGCCCTGCATGTCCCAGCATGTCCAAAGGAAAGACTCCAACTCCAGGATCAGGGCGCACTGGGCTACACTTTTATAACTACCAAAGATGTTTTAAATCTTGCAGTGCTTAATACACACGCTGCCATGCTCCAGGACAGCTCAGGCTGATGAGCTCCGCACTACACATGGGATAGATAGTAGGTTTTTCAAAGCACCTGTGACCTGGCAACACCTAGAAATTCAATCGTTACCAGTTCAATAACATGGCTGAATTATCATAAAATCACATGGTTATCACGCGAAGAACCACTGTCCTCCTTAGCTGGAGAAAGCAGCCTGCAACATAACACACAGTGTTGCGGCACAGTTCACACCAGTAAGACACGCGAGTGATACCTCACACATTTTTATTTTTGCTGGGGCAAATCTAAGACTTACCAAGTACAGAAGCACAAGATTCAACAAGTTAATGCTGGGGCAGACTGCACCTTTACGAGATAGGGAGTACTGGATGCAGAACATTTCTGTCAGCACCCGCTCGGTTCTCCCCAGCAGCACAGGTTAGAACAAGTCACTGAATGTCATCGACAGACAAGGAAGTCCCAGAAAACGCCAAGAGCAGACGCAAAAAAATTAAAACACCCTTCAAAAAGGCTGCTGAAGGAGATACCTGTCCCTTTGTTTTGGGTTTGGCACAATACTATAGGCACATGTAGCAACTGCAAGAAATGGTGCATTTTTACTCAAACAATCCTGTCTTTGGCTTAGTCACTACCACAGCCACGCCTGCATTTGATCAGCAGAAGCAATAATGTTCCAGCTTAAGAGCACAAGTCTAACACAATCAATTGTATGGAACTATTACTGGTTTCACTACAAAGAAAGGCTGAACAGAATTTATGCAACAACTGGAAAAATTTTCCCCCTTTTTTGTTCCAGTAATTGGCCAATGAAGACAGATTGTTCTCTGTGGACTCACCTACACGCTCCCTTTTGGGGCTATGAGTTTTGAAATGCCCTGCAGAAAGGTTGTCTTATCTAACCCTGAATTAGGGAGATCTTGATTTCCACTTGCAAATGAAGCCTACGCATCAGAATAAGTGCACTTAAAAAGTTCTCGACCATTACCGAAACACTGCTGAAATATAAATGCTTGCATGTACACACAGCAACGATGTTCTTGCAGCATGTACCATGCTAGAGATGAAATAAAGAGAGATTAGAAAGGCATTAAGAACAGTCCAAGCCAAACCGTATCCAGCTTTATTAAAGGTACTTTTCATAAACAGTCATGGTAATTTAGGCAGGACATGGGCTACAATCTGCAACATTTTACAACAACTGTCAAAACTCCCCTCCCTTTGTGGGCTACCAAAACATAAAAGAGTTGCTATAAAACTGAAGAATCTTCATTTCATACTTGTAGAGGAACAGTTTAGAGTGAGGGTGGACACTTTCACATTTAGTATGTTGTTTAACAACTTTTCACAAACCTACCCTGACTTTTAGAGGAAAAATTAAAACTGCAGGTTTCTTAATCTGAAGATCCACAATATAAAAGAGAAAATACAGCTCTTTTTAGAGCCATTATATCCTAAATCGAACACAAGAAGTCTGGATCAGCTGACAATGCATTTAGAGTGGTTAAGTCCCAAAATGCCATTTTTGCCATATTTGGGAGTGATAAGCTCTAGGCAAACGATGAGGACATGGAAGAAAATAAAGAGGACATTGCAAACTGCGGTTCGGAGGCCGGCAACAGGCATCTTGGGAGCTTCAACGTTCACTCTGATGCACTTCACAAAACTTGACAGACGTGCAGCATGAAGGAAACCTTTCCCCTCCAGGCAGGAAGAGCCCTTCTTCCAAAAAACTGGGAGGGGGAAAACTTTTCTTTTTAAAATTCAGGTTCTGAGAAATAGACTAAGTGACATTTGTCCCCACTGTCCCTCCCTCCCTCCCCAAACACAACAACGAAGCGGTCTGTGTGCTAACAACATAGCTTAAAAAAAAGTAAAACAAAATTCTGCATTGTTATAAAACTTGATAAAAAATAGTATTTCAAACTGTACAGTCACCAGAAGTACACAGTTATCAAAAATTCACACATTTTACTTGGCATCACCAGCACCTTCAGCTTTCTGTGCCTGAAAGGAAAAGGGGAAGTGGTCAATATACACTACGTACTTGCACCAAACAAACTTCCCAATGGAGAGAGGGAAGAAAAAAGAAAACTTATCTGAACTGTATCACCATATTTCTTAAAATAAAGTCTAGAAATAAAAGTACTTTTAAAAGAAGGAAACCTGAAAATGCTTCACTACGTGTTTTAACTTTATTCATTTTTAGGACAAGGCGTAACACTGATTTTCAAAGTAACTTCATTTCAACTGGCAAACAGAAAACTTTTATTTTAACTCATTACTAACCAGACAGTACAAACTGTATTTTCTATAAGGAATACTCTATAGACTGGTTGCTAATGTTATAAACAACACGTCTAAATAATTGAGCAATAATTTCACTTCATTAGTGCAGGCCTCAACCTGTCAATACTTGATACGGAGGAAAAAAAAAAAGATATAAAATCACTGAAGTAATGCAAGCTGCTAGAAACGCTCTTATACCTGGTCTGTTTTGGCATCTCCGTTTTCTGCAGGGTTGTTTCCTTCCTTGCCAGCATCAGCTTTCCCCTTTTTTCCCTTAGGCAACTTCTCGCTCTTCTGCCGAATATCAGATGACATACACCATTAAAATCACTGATACCCACTCAGCCACAAGAATTCGAAAACTAGGATGGTAAAACCAACACTGCATGTTGGCCTAGAAAGAATGCAGCAATACACAAGCACTTATGTGTTTGAGACGCAATTTTTGTAAAGTTTCCTTATTTATTCAGTTAGTTTTAGACACTCGTAGACAAGTTTCACAAAGTAAAACAGTTTAGAGTCCAACTTCATGCAAGCAGCAATACAACTAGATTCTCAAATGACTGCCATCTCTGAGAAATACAATGATGCTAACACACCAACTTACCTTTGGAGCTGCCTTTTTAGGTTTAGGCTCTGGCTTCGGAGGGGCAGGTTTCTACAGGGGGAAAAAAAAACCCTCATGCTATACCTGTACTTAAAACAAACGCGCTGCACCCCCCCTCCCCCCCCGCTTTTTTTTAAGTCAATTCAAATAGTTTAGTTTTAGGAAAGCAAATCAAAGTGATATTTGAAATTGAAACACTTACTTGATTTGGCAATTATTCTACCACTCCCATAAGGCTACACAATGGGGCAGTTTGTTAAGCTAACAATGTTCCTTCAGGCGAACAACGCATCCCTCTGGAATACCTTGGGTTCTCATACAGATGCAGTACTTAATAGTTAAGCCTGATAAACGCTGTGACAGCTCTCCTCAACAACAGGATACTCACAGCAGATAACCTTGCTGATCTCCGTTGTGGCTATTTAGAAAGAAAAATGGTGAAAATTAAAAAGTGATGGAACATGAACAACAAAAGCCATCTAAATAAGCCCGTTTCATATGGGCACAATCCCAGGACAAGAGCTTAAGTTTTACTTCTCTTTTTCCCTATTATCAAGAAACAGTAAGATATCCCATCTAAGTCACTATGAACAGTATTTAACTAAGTACATTTTTTCATGCTTAAGATCAAAAGCACCACAGTTGACACTGTAGGAGGACAGCAGCAATTAAGCGTCATTTCCCCCACTCCAGCTATCAATTTCAACAAAGTTAAACCCAGCCTTCCAATGCAAACACCTTACGCTCCAACTTTCTCAAAAATATTTAACTTCTTACCTCATCCTTAACTTTGGCCTTATCGCCCTTGGTATCTCCTTCAGCCTAGGAACGAGAAACGTTAAGTTGCACTGAGAAGGAAGGCTCAGCCTCACATAGATCTGCGGGAATGGAACTGTTTTTAACCCTGGTAGCTGCGAGACGACTGTTTGGGGGCGCCAGGCCCTAACAGGGCCTCGGGGCTCCACCCCACCTGCCTGTTGAGGCCGCGGGCTGAGGTTTTTTGGGGTGGAGATGCCGGGTTTTTGGCAGGGCTCGCCCCAGAGCGCAGCGGCGACGCCACCTCCCCCGGGAAGGCGGGAGGGAGGAAGGTGTGGGACGCGGCTGCCCCTTCAGGGAGGCCCCGCTCCCGCCCACGGCGGCCCCCGCGGGGCGGCGGTTTTGGCGGCAAAGTGCCCGCCGCTTCCCGCCCTTTCCCGCGCGCGCTGGCGGGAAGGGCCGGGCCCCGCTGCTCCCCTCCCCCCCCCAAGCTCAGACCAAACCTCCCGCCAAAACGAGCCGGATCGCACCGGCCCCGCGCCCCTCCCCGCGCGCCGTTAAAGCCGTTAGCGCCGGTAACGGTCCGCGCCGCCCCGCCCCCCGCCGCGGCCTCCGCTCGCGCGCCGCCTCGCCGCCGTTACCGCCCCGAACGGGGGGGCCTAGTCCCGCCCCCGCTCCCACCGGCGCGGGAGGCTGCGGAGCGGGGGGGGAGGGGGGGGAATGGCGGCCCGCAAAACGGAGCGGGGCGTCCCGCTCGCCCCCGCCACGTACCTTTCTCTTCGGCATGTCTGCGGGCGGCGTGTGCCGTGCGTGCGCGAGCGCGGCCGGCCGAGGGGGCGGAGGGAGAAGGCGGAGGAAATGGAGGGGGGGGAGAGGGGGAAGGGCCGAGCTCCCTGGGTCCGGGGCGGCGGCGGCGAGAAGCGGAGCGGGGGAAGGGAGGGAAGGGGCTTGATGAGGAGGAGGGGCGGGAAGAGCGGCGGCTCGCGGCGGCTCGGGGCGGCGGCGGCGCCGCGGCGGGGCTCTCGCTGCCGGCTGCGGGCGCTGCCTCCCGACCCCACTAATTTGAATCGGCTGTTTATAAAGTTTTATATAGACCCGGACGCGGCCCAACCGGTTCCAGCCGGATCCCCGCCGCCCCGCGCCACCATTGGCCCGCGCGCGTCACGTGGGGTGGGGCCAAGCCAGGCAGCGCGGGGGGGGGGGCGCGGCGCGCGCGCAACTGGGCCTCGCGCCCCCTCCCCCCGCCCCGCCTTTTCCCGCCGTGCGCGGGGGCGGGAAGAGCCGTGAGGGGAAAGGGGAGGGGGGGCGAGCGGCCATGGCGGCGCGGGCGGGGAGCGCGGCCGCCTGCTCGCCAGGCCTGGCGCCCATCGCCGCCTCTCCCCTCACGCACCGCCGCGGCGCCACAAAATGCCGGGCGCAGGTGAGCGGAGCTGTCCTTCAGCACCAGCCAACGGGGGCCGCCACCCCCCGGGGACTTCGTGCCCACCCCTCCTTACGGGGAGGGCAGGCAAAAAGGGGTGACCGTGGAGGGCTGCGGTCGCCGAGCCGAACCAAAATGCAATAAAGTTCACGTTTAAACCCATGCTGCCCGGGGCACACGTCCCCGCTACTTACGCTGCAAGTGGCTCCCAAAGTTGGCACACGGTCTAAAGGGGACATGGCGCCCACTGGAAGGGGGGCACGGCCGCCTCCAGAGGCGCCTCTGCTCCAGGCTAGCGATGGAGGGACCAGCCACGCTCCTGCGCCCGCCTTCTTGTGTAGGCCTTACCTGGAAAACCAGCAAGCCTTCCCCATCCTGGGGATCCCCTGGGCTTTGTCAGTTCTTAGGCACAAGAGCTGTGCGCTTCTCCACTTGCCTGCTGATTATTCACATCTTCACCGTGTAAAAATCCCTTCAAAATAGAGGAGCTGGACTCTCAACCTCACAGAAGATCATAAAAAAAATGAAAATAATAAAAAGCCAACACGGGACAGACGGACTCCTGAGAAGTTGGAATCTGCCTTTATAACTTACGTACATCCTTTAAGGAAGCAAAGTTACTGGGAAAGTCACTATTTTATTAGAAGAGCTAATACAGTGGAATAAGAAACTGTGATTACCCCCACCATCACTTGAAGGACTTGTGGGCCTGAAGGTTGCTCTTTTTCAACCACAGCAATTACTCTCACAGAAAGGTATCAAAACTCTCCCGACAAACCAAGTGTAAATCATGTTTCAGTTACCAGAGCTGCAAGAGTACATTACATTGCAGAAAGTCACCACTGTAGTTCTGGTTGTTCATTTAATAATAATGATCTGATTTACTGGTCTTCCCCTCCTTTTCGAGTCAAATATATATTCTTGGAGGGAAGACAATCCGCCTGTCTGCCTCACAAAACAGACTCATGAGTGCTCAGTCTCATGGAGAATAAAACCTATTTCCACAGACAACTTCGTGCAACATAAAGACAGACAAAATAAAAATGTAAATGAAAACAAAAGTGTGAAGAACAGACAAAATACCACAAAATAAGCTTAAATTGACAGCTTCCATCTCTGCATACTTTCATCCAAGCTACTGTGAACTACTTACGCAGGAGGGTGCATTTGCACAGTGCTTCAGTCAGCCAAGTCTTGGGACATCAGCAAATGCTGTAAAAGAGCTCAGGCAATGCTGTAAAAGACTACAGCCTTGAAATTCTTTCCATTTTAACAGGAATCAGATAAGGAGTCTTGTCACAGGTTAAACAATATCAGATCTGGATGCCAAATTCATTAAAACTTAGAAAATAAGCTCTGTATAGTTTTAAATGCTCATTTTTTTTAAAAAAAGTTTGGTATGAAAATGCTTTATTCATGGTTTGACAACTTAATTACCCTCTTCACAATCATATTCCATGTGCTGAGTCTGCAGCACTTAATCTTTTAAATCTCCATTTTCTAGTCCTCATCTGAGGTAAAAAGGATCTCTTTCAAAACAGCAATGGCTGCAACTGCTGCACCTGTATGTAGAGCAGAAACTAAAGCAGGACAACATTTTCTGTTGATTACTGTTGGGGGACAGAAACAAGAGAATTAAGAAACAGAAATCCTGGAGATCTTGGAAATGAACTATTTCTTCTCCCTGCTGATACAGAATTAAGAACAAATACTTCTCCCTAAAATTTGAATCAACTGTACAGCACTTTTAAACCATTTTCATTAGGGATTGGTTGTTTTTGGCTACTGTACTGCTGAACTAAGCCTACCCTAACACACTGCAAACAGGACGGTTTGTCATCGCTTAGTTCTCTCTTACTGTAACCATCACCTGGTTTTAGCCAACTTTTTTTCCTCTTTAATCCATTAATTTAGGTCTATACCAATCCTTTTTTCTTGCCTACTTGGAGCCTTCCCCCTGCTTCCTGCAAAACAATAGGGCTGTTCCAACATCGCTAACAGCTTTGGGTACTTTTGGGTCCCTTCTGCCCTTGTTGCTAAGATTTCACGGGACCTGACAGCAAGGTGAAGCTTTGTGCCTTCTTTACAGTGAGGCTAACACCACTTCAATTTAGTTCTTTGGAAGCCAAGAGCAGATGTAAAACCCAGGAGTCAGGAGGGGAAAAAGAAAACAAACAGGTTATTAGGGAGTGGGGAGCATCTCTGCCACTGTTGGGCACAGACCCACTTACACACCAGGAATAACCCTCTCTATATGGAATGGAAGTTGGACATCTCACGGAATAGCAAAGGAAATCTTAGCAAAAGATTCCCCACTGCAAAGCCACAGAAAACTTTCAGTCCAGCCTGATTTAACAGCACTGAATTCCTTTTCCTCAGCCAATTCATGAGGGGCGTAACAGAACTGGAAGCTCATTCCAGTAACCTACTCGTCCCCAAAGCATCCAGGCCTGTAAAATACCAGGGAGTGGAGAAAAGGCAAGGGGTGTGTATTCTATATCATCAGGACGGAAAGATGCCATCATTTTCTTCAGTGGCTTTCACACAACAGGAGAGTTGGCACTTGGATAGTGCCACTGGGGATGTAAAGTCCTGTAGCAGCCCTGCATCCCAACTGGAGATCCGCACCAAGGGAATTCCTCTGGGCAGCAGCTCTTATTCCTCAGAGTTAGAAACTGTCTTCCCAAGAGCCACCCGGCACCCATGTCATGCAGACACAGTGCACAACCTTTCAAAGAAGTCCGCTCTCTTGTGCTCTAGCGCCTGCAGAAAGCCCTGGATTCTCTCTTCCCGCATGGCAGTGCATTTCTGCAACAGTGTCCGTCGACGCCGAGAAGAGTCTCCATGAGATGCAACCCCCTCCTGCTGCAGCTTCTCTGTCACATAAGCCTGATCCCTTTCCATCTGTTGCCGCCTCCTTTCCTCCATGTAGGAGTCTCTGGCCTTCTAGAGTGAAAAGCAGCAGAGTGTTAGCACTTCACCAGGCCTCCCTGCCCATCTGTGGTGCACGTACAAGGTAGCAAACAGCAGAAACCACCTCTGCTTGGCCATCAGTCTGCAGGTAAAATAAAGAGAGGCTCTGTGTGCATCTCTTGTGCTGTGAGGCAGCTGCTTGGTTGGTTAGAGAAAATACAGGGATATCCTTCAGGACCTTCTCCTTGAGATACAGCTCTGCTCATAGCATTAACTCTTAGTTAAAATTGATAAAGGTCACGACAGATTGTGGAAAAAGCCTCAGATACCTGAATCAGAGAGGCACAGAGCAGAGGAGTGCTTTCACATCACAGCCTCGCACACAAGCTATCCTTGCCAGTATCATCACAGAATCTTTGAACCTATTCACATGGCAGTAGAAAGGCTTTGGGGGGATTCAGAACAATGATTTATGGGGCAACTGAGCTGATGATCAGGTACTGAGCTAATTGGCTGCAGTAAATGGGCTCAGCATTGCCAAATGCCTGTGCTCTAATAACATACCAGCTCTAGACACAGCATGATGGGCAGCATAAAGGAAAAGGTGGTAGCTCTCTTTCTGCCTACCCTCAAGTATTTGAAATATATTGCAGAGAAACACTGTTGGGTTTCTTCTCATTGCACATATCCTAACTTGGCAGGCATAGAGCTTCTAACATCAGGATTGCATCTGCATATAGGTAGATTAAGCCTCATTAAAAAGAAGTACGACTATGGTCACTGTTATATAACCTGACAGGCACATATTAAGGGAAGACTGGCCTTTCATGCAAGCAAAATTACAAAATACTCTAATGAGGAATTCTCATACTTTTCACCACACTTCCTCCCTATATTCAACTCATCAGTCTACACTTTGGCACTGTAAAATAATTTTTGTTGTGCTGGGATGAAGTGAAATTCTGCCCATGCACCAGAAAAGATATGGCTGAGCCACGCTGAGTTTGAAGTCGGCTTCAAAACTGGCTAGTTTTGCCCCCTAGAAATCAGGGGCACTCACTTGCTCTGTCCTGCCAGGTAAAGAGCAGGAACCATTCCAGCTGGTGAAGTGGCAATGAACAGTGGAGAGAGAGGTGACTTTAGAAACCTTGGTTATTCTGGGGAGGGTAGAGGGGCAGGGAAGAGTTTGTCCTCATCCTAAGATGCTGTAACAAGCTACAGGCATACAGAGGTAGCCCATCTGGAATAAGCTGCTATTAAAACAATGCATTAAATGCACTGTTTAATTCCTTTGTTCATACTTCATCCCCTCTCATCTCATCTCCCAGCGTGTTACAGAGCTGTTCTGTGAACAAAATATTGTGTCTCCAGCTCCCTAAGGCTCCCTTACCTGTAAAGCACTGTAGTTCATCTGGAACTGCAGGATAGCCTCACAAAGGTTCCAAAAGGAATATTCTGGCCACAGCACTGACTGAAATACCAGGCACGAATGGGATGTCTGCAGAAAGCAAGTTCATCAAGAATTTAGGCATCTGGTCAAGGAAAAGTCATCAAAATGAAGCCCAGTCAAAATATGCCTTTTCTGCCAAAAAGGCTTTACTTAGGTTGCATTATCAGATTCTACTTAAAATAAAATATAGCTAGGATACTTTGAAACTGTACAGTGTAGAGCCTTTCTACCTAGTCTGTTTCTAATGCTGGGATTAGTGTCATCCATTCCTGTACAAGTATCCAGCAGAATTCTTTTTAATGCTGTGCTGGTCTTCAGTCTTCACAGAAGTATTTCTAACAGCTGAAGTATAGCAGACACAGAAAAACTAAAATAGCAGTTCTGGACTATTAAAGGCTAAGTTAGAGGAGCAACAGATGAACTGAGGATCAGTTCATGACACTTGAGACATTTACCAAATGACATCTTGTGATATTCCTCACCGCCCACTCACTGCATTTAAACCACGTAACGAATCCAAGAGTTGTGCTGCATTGATGGTATCCTAGAGCTGCAAGATGGAAGCTTTCAAGTGAAACACCTAGTTTTGCCATCGATTCCTTAAAGTTTCAATTAAGCAGGTAACCTTTCAGCAAACATCACTATTAGACATAACACTTAAAAAGGACCGTGCATGTTCTTTCTAAAACTCACAGCATTCTAAGAAAAATCTCAGCATCAATTCCACACAAGAGAACATTGCAAGGACATTTTGGTGCCACAAAACCACCCCCAGTAGCACCTTTTTTTTCTACTTTGGGGTTGCTAGGGCTCAGATTACTACCAGCAAAAGTAAATTTACACTAATGCTTTAAATTGTGACCTGGCAGGGTGGAAGCACAAACAAACACTCTCTTCTACCACTTCTGTTGAACAAAGCGCAGTCAGCGGCAGGGGAGAGGGGCCTCTTGCCAAGCAGATCCACAAAGCATTCAGCTGCTCAGTAGGGCTGTATTGGTTACGTACAAGCTCAGGCTCCCAGACAGCCCTGCCAGGACTGCCAACAAGAGAAACATCAGTCTCCACCTTTGACACCTGTCCAGGCCGTACGTGTGCCCAGAAACGCGGGGAGGTGGGAAGAATGCCTTGTGGAGCAATCCAATTCAGGCCAGGCAGCTTCCATGAACTTACAAGTTAAATGACTTGGAAGAGCAATGTTTGATGTGGTTGCTTAAAGGAACTTGGTTCTTGGCTCCAAGCTGTATATATTGCCAAAGAAACATTAAGTAAAACCACTTGACTCAATGTTCTCAATGTGCTCTGCAAAGCCTGGGTTACAAGCATTTTAATATTGCTTAGCACATGAAAAAGAAAGAAAAATATCAATGCAATTGCAAATACATGAATTGCACGTGTTACTGTACCTCAGTTTTGTGGACCAAGGCATTTCAATTTACTTTGCCACCCTCAGCTGCTGTTCTGAGCGGGGTCTTGTTTCATTACCAAAGTCAAATAAAGTTGTAAAACATCAACAAATCCGTCATGCACATTACGTATACATCAGCAGGGTAATTCTTCAATCCCTACTACTGACAGAAACATTTGACACATTCCTTTTTTGTTCAAACTACCTACAACTTGGCAGGCAATTGTTTAAAAACCCTCACATCAGTTTGTGCCTGGATCCAGCAGAACTCTCCTAAGCAAGGATGAAAAATATTGAGGGGAAAAAAAAAAAAAAAAAAGAAAGAAAGAAATTAAAGACTTTACCTGCCAGAGCAGAAAGTCACTCAGCCGGACCTCTCCTGAGGTTCGTATCAGGAGGTCTGGGTCTGGGGAGTTGTTGGTGTACAGACACTTATCAAGCAAGGATTCTGACACGTCGCTAAGGAAGACAGATGCACTCCATTGAGATTACCCTCACAACCTGATGGTGGTTGTACTACATAACCAGAATTACTGAGGATTTTTGCAAACATGAGGCTGCAGATTAAAACTGGGTGGCTGGAGCCATACCACAGCCAGTCATCAGCTTCCTTTGGACACACACGCTGCTCCACGTGCTATTTCAAACGCTGCTGTAGCCCCCAGAGCATTTCCCTCATACTCTTTGAGACATACTGCAGTATCCCAACCAGACTGAAAACTTCCCTCTGAAGCAGACAGCAGAGGAGGACTGTTCCTCCAGGGTGGAGGAACAGTCCAATATTCGTGATTCATCTGTTCTTTGACCTCATAGCTAAGACTGCCAGTTAAGAAGCCAATTATTGTGGCATAAAATCTGCCTTCACATTTAAACTAACTTAAGACACAGACCTAACTTCTTTTCTGTCTGGCTTGTGAACCCATCACCATGGTAATTAAAATAATAAAAACTAAACAATTGCATAGTAACTTATTTGTTCCAGGCAGGCTAGTTTAATAGAATCTATTTTAAAGCAACTTAGTTTCTGGGAGGTTACTAGGAAGTGTAAGGGGTAAGTCAGGCAGCCTTATGCTGCAGAGCCTCACACAGAAAGAGGAGAATTACCTGGGTTCAAGCAGCCCTTGTTCCACCCCCCAAGCCATCTCCCTCACAGCATTGCTGATTTCGTGTCTCGAGGTATATGCAAAGCAGACATTTAGAAAGCATCTGAAAAGAAAAATATGTAAAAATGTGAAAGAAGCTAATCTAGAGAAGGACTCAGCAGATGGCAGAGAGAAGAATCTCTCTGGAAGAATTACACAGGCTTGCAAGAAAAGAAAAACATCTATGTTGTATCTCACAGAATGGTTGAGGTTGGAAGGGACCTCTAGAGATCATCTAGTCCAAACCCCTGCTCTAGCAGGGGCACTTACAGCATGTGGCACAGGGTGACATTCGGGTGGATTTGAAGACCTCCAGAGAAGGAGACTCCACAGCCTCCGTGGGCAGCCTGTGCCAGGGCTCTGTCACCCTCACAGTGCCAAGTATCTGCCAAATCCCAGTCTTTAGGTACACGAGGCAGACACCAAGTATCAGCCGCTTTGAACAGCGCATTACTCATTACTTACTTGTTGTAGTTCCTCGTTGCCAGCACAGCTTGGGCAATCAGTTCCTGAATATCCAATGGCAGGAGTGGCAGGTCCCCAAGGACACGGATACACACACCATGCTTCTTCAAGTTCTCCCTACATCCAACAACAAGTTAGGGCTGCAGAAAACAGATCCTGGCTGGACGAGAGCCAGGTCTGCCTTGTGTAACATCCACCAAATGAAAACTGCAGACATGCAGCGGGTTTAACAAAATTCAGAATTAAAAAAAAAAAAAAAAAAAAATCACATATAGCGACCAAATATTTTTCAGGTACGCACAGATGACTTAGTTTTCACCATCCCAAACCATTCCCTAAAGGGAAACTGATGATTCTACATACAGATTTCTGATTTACAGACTTAATCAAAGCACTAGACAATGACCAGAGATTAGGTGTTCCTATGTGAGGTTAGGAAATACATATTTGCAGGGGTGGGGAAGTACATAGACATCTAACTAATGAAAAATTAAGAACACAGGAAACAAATAATAATGGTCATCTCAACAGTATTTTTTTTTCTGATCCAAGGCAAGATAAGTGCATTAACAAGAGGATGGCAAAACAGAAAACAGCTGAGATAGGAAACTCATGTTATTTCTCAGGGTCCTACTGCTGTTTGACCAATGCTACAAGTTCCCTTGTGATTGAGGGTCACATTGGGTAAAAACAGGGCAGTTAGCATAGACTGCAAGTTCGTGGCCTCCTCGAGTCATAATGTACCACAGTGCTCAGGTATTCCTGCTCTTCTCAAGTTCTGACGATGAAAACAAGTTATCCCTTCCGTCTGCTTATTCCAGTTGCACTCCCTCACTGCTTTACCAATTTATTTCAGCTGGATAAGCACCTCCTCCCAATATGCACATTCTTCTCACCCAGGAAGAATGGCGACACAAATATATGCACCAAATTGCTGAGCAACAGATCACTAAGAGTTGTACTACTTCTGACTACAAAAAACACACGAACTAGGTCCCCAACTCCAAAAAGTGACCTCTCACACTATATGTCCCTCTGTAGAAAGGGCTGCAGACACATGCTGCAGAATTAAAACTCTAAGTTTTCTGAGGCCACTGGACCAGAATTCAAGACAAAGCGTTGATATTTCATGAAAACAGGCACCTCAGGCTCAAGTCCTAAGCAAAATGTATGATTGTGCTGTGTTCACCTGAAAGCTGCACTGTTTCAAGTAAGTGGACAGGATCATGTTGCAATAAACCATAAAATACAGACAAGTTTGGCGTGCTTGGAGACAGAGCATGCTCAGGAGCCATACGTCACCTCCAGGTCGACACAGACCCTGAACACAGATCACTGGGTGGAGGTGGGGAACCTCTGCCCTCATTTAAGCCATTTTCACAAGTTGCATAAGAGAAGTTAAGGGGATATTACATGTTCTGCCTTTATGCCACCCTCCGGGAAACCGATACGAGAGGATTCTTACTGTTCTTCCAGTAGGCGGCTAAATTTCTGCCTTGCCAGATCCATTAGTCCATCCACCTCTTCCTTGGAGCGTTTAAAGTTCTCAATACTAAATGCATAAACAGTGACCTCCCGGATACCCAGATTTAAACACCAACGGAGAGTCTGTAAGGAGACAAAAGGTAATTAAAAACTGAAATCAGGTAAGTAGCTTCAGGAAATCAGGCAGGCAGGCAAGACCCACCTGCTCAGCTGCTAGAACTTTCCTGTAATTCCCCACTACAGTAAATCTGGGCCAAAAGAAATTAAGATCATTAAGAGCTGATAACGCATTCCATCTGATGATGAGAGTCAACTATAGCTCAAAGAGATGGAGAAAAGTCTCCGTAGTTCCACTTCAAATCCATTATTAAATTTTATAGCAGACTCCAAATAGAGCATAGCCACGAAACTAGCCTCTTTTACAGACTGAAGCAGAATTAGCTCTGCACAGGGCCTGATGCCAGAGAAGAAAATAACAAACATATCAGCAAAGCAGTGAACACAGCTCAAGCTTGCAACAGTCAACCTAGAGGCAGCAAACGTCTTTCCCACCTGTGCCAGTTTCTCAAAGCCTTGCGAATGCCCCTGCTGTCTCTCCACGTGGCACTTCTGGGCATAACGGCGATTGCCATCCATGATGAAGGCAACATGCTTGGGCATGGGACCTGCCTAGAACATAGGGAAAGGTGACACAGAGCGGATGACATGGGAGGCTAAGGATCAAGCTGGCATCTTGTCTCGCAGAGAGCTCAGCCACACTGTTCTTGGCAGCACCACCTATTTCACTCCTACAAATAGTCCTACCTTAAATCCTCAAACTGTAAAGAGCAGCTAATTACCTTTTTGATAATCCTATTTTAGGCTCTCTAAAACATTTCAGTACTGACAATTGCCTCAGATGAAGAGCAACTCTATTCCTCCATATTCTGTTATGTGACAGAGGCCCAGGAGAGAAGAGGGCTCTGATGCAGCTACCTCTCTGCAGACACAGGGGAGTTTCACATTGTCATCCTAAACAATTTTGCTTTAGGAGTTCACAAGTGTTGCTACAGACACACTTAAGATAAATAAAGTCATCACTTTTCCCCCTTTTAGGGCAGCATTTCTTTTGGTTGACTTCACTAAACTCACACAAATATGTTTGAGAGGGCAACAGTGCCAGCTTCAAGGTTGCTGAGCAGAGAGACTTCCCCTGGAACTGAGGGGCTGTAATTTCACTCAGCAGAAATTCAGCTTCATTTCTTAGAACCACATTTGGAACATTTTGCTTCCTCCCTTCCTCCCACGTCCTGTCTCCCTCAGCAAGGAAACACAATCCTGGAAGCCGTGAAACTCAGCTCATTGCTGGCAAACACTGCCCACAGCCCAAGTAACTTCCCAGCCCTAAATACAGTTTAGGTAAATACATCCAATGCCTGAATTAATAGGTGATAACGTTGCTTGCAATGCTATCTTTCCAAAGCTGAGCTGTCATAGAGGCTATTACTATCATTAACATTTGTTAAGGTTCATTCCTTACCTTAATAATGTTGGCACAAAACCTCTCTATGATGGTCAGCTCACCTTCTCTGATCCACGACATGTCTTCTACTGTGAGTTTATTTTCTCTTTAATTAAGAAATGAAAATAAAAGGGTCAGAGGGTCTGCCAAAATCCAAAGTAATACTATAAGTGATCAGTTTGGGAAAAATAAGTTTCGATGAACTGTTCTGGAGCTCCTTTTATCATTTGTACTGATACAAGCATAAGCAGGCAATGAGGTAGCTGGATTGCCATCTAAGTAGCTGGCCATCCAGCTACCTCATCTAGGCAGCTGGATGCCTAGAGAACACCTAGGAAATGAATCTTCACTATGTTTTTTACACTCAAGTTGCTGTTAACCCTTAGAACAAACAACTGCCCAATTGCCAGCTGCACTACTGCCACCGCAGACGGGCCCCGCTCTTCCCAAGCACAAAAACGCAGCCTCTGGGGCTATAAAAACCTTCCTTTCTCACCACGTTATCCGCATCCCAAATATTTCAACAGGCCCGAGCTTTACTAAGCTTCCAGACTAACCTTCACCTCCCGCAGCTGGGAGCACCTCGAGAGAGACAAGCAGCCGTTGGAACCCGCTGCTAGGGGCCCTGAGGATGCCCCTTCCTCCACCACCACCACATGCTACGTTCTCCCATGCTCCTTCCCACAGAAAAACACCCTCCTCACTCCCGGAAAAGCGGCTGATCCCACCAGAAAAGGGGCAGAGAGCTCCCGGGATATCGAGAGGCGGCCAAGCCGAGGAGCTGTCGCGGGGAGGGAGGAGGCCGAGGCCCGGTCCCGGTCCCGGTCCCGCTCCCGGCCCGGTCCTCACGGCAGGGCGCTCCCGCCGTTACCTCGCCCGCCGCCGCAGCCCTCAGCGCAGGGTGACGCGCACTCCTGCTGACGTCACCCGCCGTCGCCAGCGGGAGGGGGAGGGAGGGAGGCTGCGCGCAGGCGCAGTAGGGCGCGCGCGGGGGGGGGTGCGGCCAGGACGCACGCGCCAGGCGGGGAGGGCGGGGCGGAGCAGGGGGCGGGGCAGGCGCGTGAGGCGGGGCCGGGGCGACATGGCGGCCGCGGCGGGGCGGAGGTGGATGGGGGCAGCGGGACCGGGTGTTTTGAGCGGAGGGGATAGAGGGTGGAAGTTACAACAGCCCCAGGAACCAACAACCCGCAGCACCACCCAAAAAACATCACCAGCAGCCGTCGCCCACAGGCTTTAGTTTTATTTTCCAGAAAAGATAACGAAAAAAAATTACATTTTACATAGTTAGTACAAAAAAAAATAAAAAAAAAGGCACAAAAAAAAAAAAAAAAAAGGAGGGGGAAGTCCGTGCAGCAGAGGGAATATTGGCACGGGCCGCAGGGCGCACGCAGGAGACCTGCGGCTGGGGCTGCCCCCTCCCCAACACTTCATCAAAACGCACGCGTTCGACACAAACAAGCTTTGGTTGCTAGCAGTAAACATGGAATTACATTCGTCCGTCTCCTCGTAGACAAACCTCGTGACTTGGGGCTTTATTTATCTCTTTATTCTTTGCACCAGGGGAGGAAATACCTCACGAGGGACGCTCGGTCCTCGTACATTCACGTGCTCCCCGCGTGGCCCCGTAATGCACCGTGCCCGGGACCCTCACACGGGCAGGCAAGGGGAGGATGCAGCAGTTTATTCCTTATTGTCAAGACACAGGGGAAGAACCACAAGAGCAAACACCGGGAGGAAAGGCAAGTCAAGAAACACCCTCCGCTGCCCTGCGGCTTCCCTCTACCTATAAAAATCCCCTGATTTTATTTTTTCTTCTTTATTTTTCCTGAATCCTGGTCCCGTATTTGCCCTGAGAAAAAAAAAACTGAGCGATTCAGTAAGCTGTTTTCCGTTTGCTTTTGCCTAGGACAGGAATGGCTACAGAAGTCATCCCCCCAACACTGGCAGAGCTGCAAGGCAGAGTACGCAGAGAAGATCCTGTCTCCCTGGTCCAAAACCTTTTAGATGCTTTGGCTTTTTTATTTGTTTATTTTTTTCCCTTTTTCTCTTACTTTTGTAAACAATAATCAAGGAGAATACTGAGAGAAAGAGGAGAGATTTACAGAGGTATTTACACAGACTAGACACCTAGCAGAAAGTCACTGAAAAAAAAAGAAAAATATCAAACCGGAGGAGAAGGGGAAAGGTTCTACATGATTTTTTGAGACAGAAACAAGAATTAGGGGGGGCAGCAGTTTACCCAGCACGACCGAGGGGGTCCGGAAAGGCCAGCGGTGCCCCCCGCAACCTGGTGTGCTCTATTGCATTTACCCCGTTGAGACAGAAGCGGCGACCCTAAGCAGGTTCGTCCAGCTCCCCGAGAACTCAAGAGACTTTTCCCCCAGCCTCCCCCCCCCAAAAAGAGACCACCACCTCACCCTAAAAACTAGCGGAGCGGGGAAGAGCTGCGGGAGCGACGCTGCGCCCCGGCAGAGCCGCAGCCGGTCCCCTCGGCACCGGTGGGGCAGACGCTCCCCATCCCTGTCCCCGTCTACATCTAAACTTAGCACTACCTAAAAATAAGGAGGGAGCCTAAAAATCACGGCGCCCTCCCCAGGGAAGGGCCCAGCCGGCCCCGGGGCTGCGAGGTTTAACGCGGCGTTGCCCAAGAAAGCCAGGAGGACGAGGTTTCTCCAGAGGCTACTTGAGATTCCCTGGCACAGAGCGGAGCGGAATCCTCCGGGACAAAGCGGGACCTACCGGCTGTGGCCTCCCCAGGGCGCCGCTGGCTTCTCCTTCCTTCCCTGCAGCCCCAAACCCCTCCTTGCTCCGGTAGGAAAGAGGCTATTCAAATACAGACCAAAAGGAAACCAAACCCAAACACACCCCCAAAAAAACACAACCAGAAAGCTCAACAACACGCCGGGCCACCCAGCGAACACCCAGTGAGGTAGATCTGCGCTTCCAGACAAGCTTTGTCACTTTGTGCTGTTAGAAAAAAAAACCTCCTCTCTATCCAGTGCTGGCTACGGAGGCATTTTATCCCTGAGATTGCTCAAATACCTGAGAATAAGTTGCAGAAATGAGGTCCTTTCTCTCTAGTTCGCTTTCTCTCTCTTTTTCTTTTTTTTTTAAATTTTTTTTAAATTTTTTTGGCCTATTTTTTCCTTAAAGATTAAAATATACAAAAAAAAGGAATATATTAAAAAAAGAAAAACCAAAAAAACCCAAAACCCTAAGCTGGCAAACAAACCAAAGATACGTCATTCACGCACGTCCTAGTGCAGGCTTCCCTCGGCGTTGGCTTCGGCAGGGACGGGGAGGCCGGAGGAGGGCGACCCGCCGGAGCCAATAAATAAAGGCAGGGAGGGGACGGCAGCCGCCAGCGACCCCCCCGGCGTCCCCGTCCCCCGGCGCCCGCCATCATTCGCGGGGCTCGGGCAGGGGCGCGGGGCTGCGCACCTCGCCCTCCTCCTCCTCCTCGCGGAGGCCGGCCGCCTTGCCCTGCGAGCCGGGCGACTGCTGCGCCTTGGCCGGGCAGTTGGCCACCATGTGCGCGATGCTCTGGCAGAAGTGGCACTTCTTGGGCTGCGGCGGCAGCTTGCACTCCTTGGCGTGGTGGTCCAGCCCGCCGCAGTTGTAGCACCTGCTGAGGTTGGGGGGGAAGAGGGCATTTGAGAAGGGGGGAGCCCGTGGAGGCTGCCCACATCCCGCCAGCTTCCCGGCACCTGGGCTTTGGCCCCGCAGCGCTGCGTGGACCAGGAGATGGCAGCAAACGCCCGTGCCCAAAGCAGGCACCGCGGGGACAAGAACAGGACGGGAGCCCTTCGGCTCTGTTCTCCTTGTGGCCCCTGCACGGAGGGAGGCCCCTGAGGAGTGGGACCATCGGGGGCATGGGCAGCATCTCCGGCTAGAGAAGGAAGAACCAATCCCGGCCTTTGGCATCAGGCAGGCCATGCCAGGCTCATCCCATATCTCTGCCACCACGGCTGCATGGGCACCGTGTTCCCACTGGAGTAATTTGGGGAGGATGAGCTGCTTTCTGGCCGTTTTAAACCCTGCTTGGGGCTCAGATGGCCGCAACCACTTGCGCTCCTTTTCCTTCCCAGGCTCCTTCCAACCTCGCAGCTCCGTGACAGGAGCCTGGCTGGGAACGTTTCCGGGGTTGGGAGATCCTGCCCGGGCGTCCAGCCATTTCCCGACCCACCAAGAGGTTTCTCCTGGAGAAATTCTCCCCGGCCAGCTCATCCCCACCATGCTTGCGTGCCAAGGGGACCGTTGCCTTGGCACATCCCAATCCCTGCCCGCCTTTCCCAGCGCTAGCAGCTCGGGTACGCCGGGGGTCTCACCCCTTACCGGTCTCCTTTCACCCTGCGCTTCTGCAGGCTCTTGCCCTTGGGTCTCCTCTCGCTGCCAATGCAGAAGACGCCGCCAGGGCCGGTCACCCGGATGGACTCCAAACCTTTGGACGATTTCTTGAAGGTGAATTCGACGGCTTCGCCCTCCTTGAGGCTGCGGAAACCCTCCATGTGGAGCTTGCTCTGGGGGAGAGAGACGGAGGGGTCAGCGCCGTGGACAGACCCACCCCGGCTGATCGCTCCCCACATCCCAGTGCGCCCCAGGGACCCACTTTTGCAGAAGAACATTCTCGTGGGCGCAGGGGCCTGAGCCCCTCACCCCTGCACCCGACAGGGCTGCTGCTGGGGCCAGCGGGCCCACGACAGGCGCCAGCGCTGGGGGCATCGTCCCAGGACGCGACGGACACAACGTCCTCCACGTCCCGCCTTGGTGTCGGCTTTGCTCTTCCTTGAAGATAGGCGGGAGCTGTTGGCTGGGGAGCCAACCTCCCTGCACGAGTTCCAGAAAGTCTGAGGGATTTGCGGATAAAGCACGGGCAAAGTGTGCAGTAGGAACCGGGACCCTAAGGGAGGATCCGCTCAGTTACAGGAGCAGAGATGCTCAGGCAAACCCTTGGGCAGAGCAGCAACCAAAGCTGCTGCTGCCACTCCGTGCAGCTCCAGCCCTTTGGATGCTCCCACATGAAGCTGCCGTTTGGCCCTGGATCATTCTTTCCCTCCTGGCATCGCTGTGTTGCTCAGTGCCCAAACCAAACTTGGGAGTTAGGATGGACCTGGATGGGGGGCGAGGAGGAGCAGCTCTCCCCGGCCGGGCCGGCAGCTCTGCTTCCCGGCGCCGGGAGCTGGTCCCCGCCGTTTTATGAATGGAGCCGCTGGCCCATTCACGGGAGCCTGAGTCACGGTCACGTGGTGCCGCTGCCCCCCGCCAGCCACACGTGCAGAAACACCCCCAAAACCAGCGGGGAGGGAGAAAACCTCAGCGTTTGCCAATCTGAGGGGGTCACACAGGACGTGCCCGTGTCCCCGGGCAGGGGGAGGATCCCGGAGCTCCCCCCCGCTCAGGGCACAGCTGGGATCAAACACCTGGATCGCACGGGATCCTCAACACCCGGACCTGCTCCAAAGCCACTGCCGAGGTGCCCAAGGACACACCGAGGTCCTGGGTGCCAGGCCGAGTGCTGCCTGCACAGGCTGGCTCATAGCTGGGGCCGAGGCAGGAGCCCCCGCAGCGCAGCCACACTGGCCACAGGCCTGGCAAACTCAGCGCACGTCAGAGCGGCACGGGGCTCCCTGGGAGTGCCGGGAGCAGCCGCCCGCGGAGATCCCTATCGGGCGGCCCAGCTGTGTTTACACGAGCGCCAGCAGAACCTCCCGGCACGGAGCCGCCTGCCGCAGGGGGCGGAAGGACCCGCTGGCCGCGGCACAGCGGCCCCCCGCTCGACTGGGACGTCCCTGCGTCCGTGTCCCCCCCACCACGCACAACCAGGGCGCCACCCGCCCCAGGGTCCCCAAGCCCCCAGGCCCTGCTCTTGTCCCCATTTCGGCAGCACCGGTGAGGAAGAGGAGGCCGAAAGCGGCGCTGGGGAAGCTGCTTCTTTCCCGTTGCGAGTGGGCGAGGATGCCGAGCGCCCCCCACGCCGGCCCCGCTGCTGCCTTTTGAAGTGAGCGGCGAGTGGCCGGTGGTCCCAGCGCATCCCCTGCCCCCTCGGCGCGCCGGCATTACTGGCATTCCTGCCTTATCAGATAGGTAATCAAACTGCAGCCCATTGAATCGGCCGCATACCTCCTGCCACTGAAAGGAAAGGAAGGGGCCCCACGGCCCCGGCCCGGCACCACACACAAAGCGGGGCCTTCCCGGCGCTCTGCGCGGCCCCTTCCCCAAAATCCAGCCAACAAGGTTCGGATGGGGGGGTCGAAGGGAGAGCCCGGCGTGGAGGCCCCTGCCGAGCGCCCGGGGCCGGCCCCAGAACAAAGGGCTGGCGCTGTCCCTTACGCGCGCCCAGCAAATTCCAGGAGTTCCAGGCTCCTGGGGGGGAGTCGGGGGGAAGGGAGGCCCGAGCGGATGCGGCCTCGCGGAGCACCGGGAAGCCCCGGGAGCGGGTGCCGGCTGGGAGCCATCCTGCCTCCTGGAACGACGCTGCCCCGGGAATGATCTGCCCCTGGGGCTAGCGCTACAAACCCTTTCTCATCCACACACTAACACTGCGCTTTAAAGCGCGCTCTAGCTCGGGCATTTCCCACGCCATCATTAAGATCCAGAGTGAACACTAGGATGAAGGCTGGCACTAATCGCTCCAGCTCCTGCACAGTCCCTGGCATCGCTCTGCCAGGCTGTTATCCACCCTCCCGCACCTCCTTTGCCAGCTCCTCTTCCAAGGAGCCGTCCTGTCCCGTCCCAGCGTGCTGGGGGCCTCGGCAGCACCGGGGTCACTGCCGCACAAGGACACATTATTCCCAGGCCGGGCGGTTCATGAGTCCGGCTTTGTGCGCTGCCCTCTCTGCGCAGGAACACGGCATCGCTTGGACCTTAAAGGCCTCGGAAAACTCGCCGGGCCGGGCTGCAGAGTTAAAGCAAAGCCCCAGGGAAAGGCCGGGCTGGCCTGCGAGGCCACCACATCCCCCTCCTCCTTCGCTCCTAGTCCCGCTGTGCCTGGAGGGATCAGCGCTGAATCCTGCAGCACGGAGCGGCCCCAAGGGCCCATTGGAACCAGCAGTTCCCAGCACAGCGATTCCCCTAGGGAGGATTCCAGCATCCCACTGGCCACAACCAGCCCTCAGATGCCAGGTCCTTCCTGCCCGCTGCATCCCCTGCAGCTTCCCAAGTCATCCTGCCTTTTCCCTGGCACCAGGGCAGCCGCTCTTCGTGCAGGGCGTGAATTGGCTCAGCTATGTGGCCAGGAAGTTTCCATTTCCAGACGGACTTCCCGCAGGAGCCAGGCTGGCAGAGCACCGGGAACATCACCGCAACCTTCCTGCTCTTTTCCAGCCTTGTCCTAGCCTATCCCGCAGTGAGAACCTCCAGGATCTTCTTTTCTCCTTATCCAAACACAATCCCAACAAAGTTACTTCACGGCCAGGATAGGGATTTTGCAACGCTCCCTCTCAGCTTTCTGTGGCGAAACGGATCAAACTCCCACTCCCGAAGGTGACCGCCCCTGGAGGGGGGTCAAACCCAAACCCTTCTGTTTTCCACCACTCCCGACGTCGCCAGAGCTCCACTCGGACACTAGCTGGGATCAGCTGCTCCCTATTAATTTCCTGCTTTGGGAATAACCGCACTTCTCCGTGCTCACCAGCCCCGACCCAACTGGCAGTTGCAGCCTTGAACAAAGTTTATTCCTATGAGGATGTAAAGCTGGGGGGTGATGAGGGTTTCGGAGCCAGCAGGTCCATCCCAGGTCTCCGGGGCAGCCCTGGCCCTTCCCAGGCCCCGGGAGAACAGGAGAAATCCCATTCATTTGGGCTATTTTATCTCGGAGACCATTTAAGGGTGTTTTCTGCGGGCAGATGGGGGCAGGGATGCGCCTGCAGCCATCAGTTAATCTTTACACAGAGACAGGAGACTTTTTTTTGTGCTCGGAGGAGGGGGTTTCAGGGAGGAGGATAAAGCCGGCTCCGTATGGGATGCTGCAGCCGGATTCCCGGGATGCAGTGCAGTTTTATACCGACAGAGATTTTAAGAATGAGAAAAAATAGTTTAGGAAAAAAAAATAGAAAAGAAATAAGGAGGAAGATTTGCTCAATTTGCTCCTGCCTCCCTTCCCCCACAGCCACCAAGATGTGAAGGGACATTTGTGTCCCAGCCCCAGTAGCCCCTGCGGCAGCGAGTGGAGCCGGGATACGGGATAACCCGGGATACAGGATAACCCGGCACAAGGCCTGGCCCTGGGCCCTTTTCGAGGGCTAGGGGAGGAAGGGGAGATAGCAGAGGTCTCTCGTGGCCATGCAGGGGTCCCAGGTCCTCTGTACCCGGTGACTGGATGCTCAGGCAGGAGGCAGGTCCTGCCACATCCATCTCCAACGTCCTGCACACGGGACTGGAGACTCGGGTGCTCCCCTTGTCCAGGGAACAGGAAGGGCTGAATGAACCGGCCCAAACGGCATTTTCCAAGGATTTCAATCTCTCTTGAGAGCAGAGGGCTGGAAAAGCACTCCGAGATGCCAAGCTCAGGCACAAGCCCATGAGCGGCTGCCCTGGTCCCCCCGGCAACCTCAGCCGGGGCTACGGGGCCGGGTTTGGTGCCAGCAGGGCCCGCAGAGCCCGGTGGCAGCAGGGAAAAGGCGATGGAGGTGCCCGAATTTCCCCTCTCCTTTCCAGGTTTTACCGCCTTTGCCAAGTGCTCCCCCAGCTCCCCGGGATGCTGCTGTAACCAGACACCGGGAGCAGAGGTGCGAGCCCAGCGGCGCTGTCCCCCGGGGTACAACAGCCATTTCGGGGGCATTTCGCCAGCGCTGGCAACTCGAGACCCCCCTCAGGTCTCGCGCCCCCAGTGCGACAGGCTCCCCCGGGCTCCATCCCGCACACAGCTCCCCACGAACCCCTCCCCAGCGCCCAGGGGAGGCATTTTAACCCAAATGCCTCATTTTGGGCTCACAAAGAGAAGGACAGGCAGCCCTGGAGGAGCCCTGTTAGTCTCCTGTCCTGCCGAGATTTTAATCTCTTTGTGATCAGATAAAGGGCGAGAGCGCTGGAGACGCGCACCCCGCAGAGAGGGGCCATTCAGACCTGGTTCCTGTAATAAAGTGATTTAATAGATCTAAAGAGGCCAATTCCCTTCTTTCTCCCACAATTACTTCCTGTGGGTCATCACTCACACATGTAAATGGTGAGGGGAAGGAAGGGACTCTCGGGGCTCCACTAAACCCCAACCCCTGCACCGGGGCACCTTGAGTTTTGGCTTTTGCCCTTCCAGGTCCAACTTGCTGCCCGGGAAAGCAAGGATGGCACCGGAGCACACGCTCCCTCTCACTGGGATGCCGAGTACGGTGAGGCTGAGCACTGGTGCTCAGCTCCTGCTCCCCATCACTATCTCCCTGCTCCTTTTCCCCAAACACCGCACACATCCCAAGGCTTGCTGCGCTTCCCATGCCAAATTGCAGCTCCCTGGCTCCCAGGGGTGATGCTGTGAGTTTGTGACCTTCCCCTAGGGCACCCTGCCCGATTCCCTTTTCCTGCAGGACTGCAAGCAACCCATAATCTCAACCAGCCAGCAGCAATAAGCACAAGGCAGCCCCTCCGTGCGGGTTGCACCAAGTTGTGCTCGCGTGCAAAGCCCCGTTTGCTCCTTGCACAGCAGCAACTGCCAGGTGGGGCCGCGTGGGCTCCCGCGAACGATTTGGGATCTTGCTGGCAAACGGAGCCACATCGAGAGCCCAGGACGGAGCCGCTGCAAACGGCGAGTCCCTGTGCTGCTCGGCAGGGACGCGGGGCTCCGCGCGCCTTCGCTCACTAGGTTAGCACTGCAGGACAGACCCCGCACGGCTGCCGCCAAGCGCACCGAGGAAACGGGAGCAGAGGGAGCCAGCCTGCTCGGCACGGACACATCTCCAAGCGAGCCCTACGCTCCTTTCCTGCACCGCCTGGCACTTTGGGTGCCGTCCCCAAGCCCCTTTCCCCAGCATCCCAGACTCGCGCCCTGGCTGTGCGGGTGGCTCGAGTGGCTACATCCCGGGAGCCGCGATTCTCCTTGCACTGGGGCAGGATTGCGGAGCGGACACACGCAGTGCTGCCCGGCTCGGGAAGACGTTTGCGGCTCAAGCCCAGATACCCGACGGCCGTCGCTGTAGAGCAGCGCACACCACACAGACTCCCAGTCCGCACACTGGGAGCGGGGCAGGTTTGGGGGAGGAATTTTATCCCCCAGGAGCGCAGCACAGGGATGAGTGCACATTGCCGCTCAAAAGACTGTTCTGTTTCTCTAATATCCCAGTGGGAGCCACAGGAACCAGAGCAGAGCTCAATCCTCCCGTGAGGATGAGCCTCCCGACCTGAGGCTTCCAGGACCTCACATCCACATGGGGGAACACACAGATTCACCCCAGCAGCCCCGTGCCAGCCGGCAACACTCATCCCTTCCAAGCGCACGGGCACCTGCTCTCCCCAGATCAGGGCCCCTCGTGGCTCCAAAAGGCTCCTCAGGGAACCATGATGAGAAAATGAAATCGCTCCGGGATCGGTTTACAGGATCGCTCCCCAGAGAGGCGACCCTGGGCCACAGAGGGGCAACTGGCTCTGGGCTCCCCTTGCTCCAGCAGTCCGAAGGGGTTGGAGACAAATCCCGGGAGCCCGGAGCATCCCAGGATGGGGGGTGCGGATGTCCGTGTCAGGAGGCCCCATCCCGAGCGGCGTCCCTGGGGGCTGCATCCCCTTCCCTGCTGCCCTCCCCGCGTACCTGGTGCACGAAGACATCGACGGGTGATTCGAGCGCCGCGCCGCCCTTGGCGGTCATGGAGAGGAAGCCGAAGCCCATGCGGACGTTGAACCACTTACAGATGCCCGAGCCATGAAGCAGCTGGGGCTCGTTCTCAGCCTTGGGGGAGTCTCCAGTCGCCTCCTCGCCTGTCTTGGCACCTGGGGATGGATCCGAGAAGCAGCTGAGCCCAGAGGAGCCCAGGGTCCCCCCGGCTGCCCCTGGCCCCGCTGAGCCCTTCTGCTGCCCCAGGAGGGGCAGGTAGCCCCCATGGGGACCAAATCCTGCAGGTTGGGGCACAGAGAAAGGGGAAAATCCTCCCGCAGACACAGAGCTCAGCTTTGCCTCTGTGCACACGGGGATTGCTCTGGAGCCAGGGAAAGGAAGGCAGCACCAGGGGGGAATCCCCCCTTCCTCCCCGAAAAGAGCCTGAACCCATTCCCCCAAAAATGTAAACAAACAAACCCAAAATAACTTCCAAGCACACACACACAAAAAAAGGAAAAATATGCCCAAAAAAGCACCCCAAAATTGCCCTGTCCTCAGCAAGCCACGCTAGAGAAAAGTCGCTCTAGTCCCTTCTCCTAAGGCAGCAGCTGTTGGGTTGCAGTGGGAGCTGCCAGCTCCAAAACGGCCCCAACCTCCAGGGACAGTCCTGAACTTTTGGGCTCATCTTGAGACAGGAAGGAGGAAAAAAATAAAAGAAGGAAAAAAATATATATATATATATAAAAAAAAAAGGAGGAAAAAAAAAAAAAAAGAGGGTTTAAAAAAAAATCCTGAAAAGCCCCCCAAAGCCCCGTGCAGGAGCCGGCACAGGCAGGGGGCGCGGGCTGAGCTGGGGGCACAGGAGGCCGGGGCTGCGAGGCCCCCATGCTCGGCGCGCGCGGGGTTATTAATAATTGCAGAGCCGCGGCAGGCGGCGACAATAATATAACTTAACCTGCAAACTGCTGGTTGGAAACCGAGCCCATCCCGACCCTCGCTTGCAAATTCCTCGCTCTGGCTGTTACCGCCTCCTCCCTCCTCCTCCTCGGCCAGCTTTGAGGGTATCGGCCCAGCCGAAAAAAAACAAGAAAGAAAGAAAAAAAAAAAAAAAGGAAAAGAAAAAAAAAAGCCAACAGAAAAAAGCCCCAGCTTAGACCCCGACAGGAGGGAGCCGGGAGAGGTTTGACTCCATCTTCACTCCAACAATAGGGGTGGGAGGGAGCGGGAGGGGTTTTTTTCAAAGGCTCCCAAATTCTCGGAGACAATAGCGGCCCCCGCGCCCCCCCGCCCGCCTCGCACCCACCCGCGGGGCCGGGGGGCGCGGGCCCCCCCTCCGCCATCGCGCCGGCCCCTGCGCCGCCCGCGCCGCGGGGTCCAGCCCGCCCGGGGGGCGACCGCCCTCCCCCCCTCCACGTGACCCTAATTAACCGCCCCCCCCCACACACGTTAATAGCGATACATTCCGGGAGAGATTTGGGGAGGTTTGTCCTCTTTTGCCCCCGCCCCAATCAGGACGAGGCCACCTGTCAGGGCGAAGACGTGACACCCCCTCCCGCTCGTGCATTGGGGCCGTGGGACCCCCTCACCCCGGGGGAAGGGGGGGGACACCGAGTTGCCCCCACGGCTCTCCGCGCATCCCCCGCGCAAGCGAAGCCACCTGCGACCCGCGCGGCTCCGCGAGGGCAGCGCTGGGGCCGGCGCCGGAGCATCGCGCCCCTCCCCACTCCCCGTAGGCAATAGGGCACCCCCCCACCCCGGGGACCCCCCCACCCCATCCCGGGCAAAAAACCCACCAGCGGGCGGGAAAAAGTCGCGTGCTCCGGCGGCCCGAAGAGCGGCCGGGTCCGGGAGCGGGAGCGTGCGCCCCCGCGGGCCGTGCCCCCCAGCCCAGGGCCGTGCCCCCCACCCCCGGGCCGTGCCCACTGGTGGGTCCTGCACCCCCCCTCGGGCCGTGCACCCCCCCCGGTCCCCGAGCTCCTCCGCACCCCGGGGCGGCGCAACCCGCTCGGGCAGCGCGGGGGGTCGGCGCTTAGGGCCGGGGATGAGGGGGATTCCCCCCCCACACACACACACCGCGATGTCCCCCGGGGCCTGGCAGGGACAAAGGGCGAGTGACCAGCGCCTCCATTTCCGGTGGCCGGTGCGGACAATGTCCCGCTCGCCATCCGGCCGGGCCCGGCGGCGGGGGACAGCGCCGCCCCCGGGGCCGCGCGCATGGGGATGTCCCCGCGGGGACCCCCCACGGCCACCACATCCACAGAGGCCAACTGTAAAAGCCCCACGGCCCGCACCGCCCCCCGCACGCATCAGCGCCGCCGCGTGGGTGCCCCACGCGGGATCCCCGCTCCCGCGCAGAGCCCCGTGCCCCGCAGGGAGCCGCTTGGAGGGGGCGGCGGGGCAGGGAGGAGGAACTGCCCGGGCCGCGGGGGGATCCGGCCCCCGCCACGCGTGGGGCCGCCGCGCCCGTGGGAGCCGCACGGCCCGGGGCGGCCCTGGCCATGGTGCTGAAGCGGCGCCGCTCCCTGTCCAGGGTTCTGGGGGTCCCGCCCTTCCTCCTCCTCTCCTGGGCCTCCTCCTCGTCCCGCTTGGGATGTTCGAGGAGAGAAGCAAGAGGGGAGCAAAACGCCAAAATAAACAAATAACTAAATGTAAAGGGAAATTCTTCCGTGTCTTTTCCTTCCACCTCTCTGTTCTGCCCCGTCCCACAAGGCAATACTTGTTCTGGGACACGGTGCCAGGCAGAGGCGCCCGACAAGCAGAGCCCTTCCCGTCCCAGCAGGCGGGCGCTGGGCTCCGGGTGAGGGAAGCGCCGCCCGGGCTCTCGCTTTCACAAATAATGGCTTCATTAGATGGAAAGAAGTGGCCGGTGACCTCTCCGAAATGGACTTTGTGACCCCTGCTGACCCCCCGCCCTCGCTCTGACAGCCTGTAAATCTTCCCCCCCGACACGGCCAGGCCAGAGCAAGGGAGGCAAGTGGCCGGGGCCGGGGTGACACTCGCGCTTGCTGTGCAGGGCTCCCCATCCTAGGCAAGGAGATGAACAGGAAGCCGTGGGGACAGAAGCCCCTTGGTGGCAGCGTTGCCACAGAGATCACTGCGTTGTCCACCCATCCGTCCGTCCTTGCAGAGCACGGTGCTCCCCTTGCTCTCTGCATCACAGCCCTGGGAACGTGGGGCAAAGAGTCCGGCACGTGTGGCTGGGCGAGGGGGAAGAGCATCCCGTGCTCACGGTGGCTCCTGGCTCCTTGGTCCCCATGCTGGCAGAGGAGCCCGGGGGACACCCTGACCTTTGCCTATGGAGCCATCAATAACGGAGGCCACGGGGCCGCTCCGCCCCCCGCCCTTCCCCCTGCTCCAGCCGTGCCCGCTGCCCCACTCTAATGATCCCCGGCCGTCATCGAGGAACTGTCAGGTCCCCCGGCCGCGGGGACATCGACCCGCGCAGACACAGGTGGGATGGGGGGATGGGAGCGGGGAGCCCCCAGCGGCGCCCTGGCTGCCACGGGCACCAGAGCGCGTCCTGGCCAAGGGGGACAAGGAGCTGCTGCCGCCCAGCCCCGGCCCTTCCCTGCCTCTCAGATAACTTGGGAAGAGCAGGGAGCTCTGCCCGGAAGGAAGGAAGGAAGGAAGGAAGGAAGGAAGGAAGGAAGGAAGGAAGGAAGGAAGAATGGATGGAGGGATGGATGGATGGATGGATGGATGGATGGATGGATGGATGGATGGATAGATGGGGGGCCATGCCCAAAGACGGCACCTCCTCTCTGCATTCCCAGCTGCCTCCGATGAAAGCGCTGGGCCCACGGCGGCTGATTGATCACCCGCAGAGCAGGGATTGATCAGGGATTTGGCCCCATGCATATTCCTGCTATCTGATAAAGGGAAATCGATAGCGGGAAGAGGGATTCCTGTGAGGCCAGCCTCTCTGGAGGATCACAGCCTTTCCATTCCCACCCCCCACCCCCAAGGCAACTCCAGGTGGTTGGAAGGGCCGCAGGGCTGAGCATCCCCCCCAAACTCAGGGTAACAGGGAAGGGGGGACACGGTGCCCCCAGCTCCTCCTGGCAAAGCGCGCAGGCGCTGGGCGAGCACAGTGGGGCCCTGGCCCAGCTGCGCTGTTTGCTCTCCAAATAAAGAGGCAGGAGCTCGGCTGGCCTCCAGTGCCAGCCTCCCGCCCCGGCGCTGCCTCTGGCCACGCGCTCGCCTTGCGCCAGCGCCTGCATTCCGTGGCCTCCGCACCCATGGGCAGCGGGGATGGCACCAAGGGCAGCAGGCAGTCGTGAGAGGGATGAGGCAGCGGCGAGAGAGGGGCAGCTCGGGGACCCCAGCCAGGTGAGTCCTTGGGAGGCTGTGGAAGCGGCCGGAGGAGCCCTGGGTTTGCACACGCTGGACACCTGCTTCTGGGAGCCATCCCGCACGGCACTGGCACCCTCAGGTGGCACCGGGCAGGGTGCAGGGCCCTTCTCCAAGGGGTTTGTGCATGCAGAGCAGGATCCAGCCCTGGTCCTGCTTTCTAGGATGGGGAAAGAGGAAGTGGTGGCAGGTGGGGGCTGGAGTAACCACCAGCAACACGATACGGGGGCGGGCGGGTCCCATGCACAGAGGTCGGGACGCCCCTGGGCACCCCTGGCTGGGAACAGCCTCCAGGAGGCCAAATTGCACCCCTGGCACTGGAGGCTGTGCAGGCACTGCTGCCCCAGGCATCCCCATGTGTGTGAGCACCCACTGGGAGCGGCGCCCTGCGGCAGCGCCGGCGCAGCCCAGTCCGGCCCGGCGGGTGCTGGGGAGGAGCTGGGTGCTGATATCAGGCGAGCGCCGGCTCTGATGGTGCTCGGGGCCCTCCTGGGAAGAGACTCTGCACTCAGGTGCACTCAGGACTGAGGCAAGAGGCTGGGCTGCTCCTGGTGGCCCAGGGTCACCACAAGCCCCTTGCTGTCCTCAGGCAGCCCTGGGGACAGCACCGGGCTCTGAGCCAGGGCCTTGGGGTGCTGTGTAACCGCGCGGGCTCAGGCCTCACCACAGCCCCCACGAGCGGCTCGCCCACCCTGCGCATGAACGAGGGCATCCTTGTCCCCATTGCGCCACCACCACTCAGCCCCGGGGAGCCAACATTGGCTCCAGTGGTGACCACCACCCTGAGCAAAGTGGGCGAGGATGAGGAAGGCAGAGGTGAGGAGGCAGCTGCGCTTGGCGGGCTGGGGGCCGTCGCTCCTCCCAGCCGCGTTGAACAGTGGAGCCGGCTCCCCAGGAACCAGCCCGACCGGCTCGCCGGCACTGAGCGCCTCAGGAATGCCAAGGCCGCGCTCGCCCGGCGAGGGCTGGGTGCTCGCAGGGTGACTGCGCCGATCCGCCCAGGCGCGGAGAGCCCGGCGCGGGGAGCAGCAGCCGCGGGCAGCGCAGTGCGCTCGCCACGGCGCCCGCCCGGCCACCACCACGGGACGCACGGCCAGCAGGTACGTGGGGAGCCCCGGTGCCGGGGGGGCGCGGGGCTGCGCATGGCCACGAGCCAGCAGGGACTGGGGGGCTGTTGCATCTCTGTCCCACACACGGAATCGGGTGGCTCTAGCCTCAGTCCAAGCAAGGAGGCTGCTCTGCTTTCAACGCTGCTCCGAGCAGCCAAACGGCGTGGATGCCAGCGGAGCAGCGGACCCTGCCGCTGCGCAGCTCCCGGTCCCAGGCAGCCACATCCCGCTCGACGGGAGGGACACGCGGGGCAGCAGGGGAAGCGCAATTGCACAGCCCTAACCATGAACCGCGGTGCGAGCGGCAGAGCCAGCCTGGCTGTCCCGTGGGCAGCAGGTCCCTGGCACCCCACAGCTACGGAGCGCGTCCCCGCGTGTCCGGAGGCCCCTCTGCCACCCCCTGAGCATTAAAAGGCATTTGGGGCCTTTCAGTTGGATGCTGTGAGCCCTGAAAGGGGAGTGGGGAGAGACTCTCCTGAATGGCAACACGTTCCCTCATGGCAGAAGGCAACAAATGAGCTGAGCGGGTCGGCTTTGCCTGGACACAGGGTAATGAATTAGCCACGGTGGGCAGCCCGTGGCACTGACAGCGCTGTGTGTTAGCGGGGAAAGGAGTGGAGGTCCCA